AAGACTTACAGCATTACATGGGTTCAAAAGTTTATTATTACTTTGTTCTTTTCTTTTTTTTTTGTGTCTTATGATAATGGAAATATGGAATCTAACTTCACAGAGTTATAAAGGTAATAAACATATTTATATGCAATGACTTGATTCTGTTAGAGTTTCCTTGCCTTTTTAGCCTCCAGTCAACCAGTGGTTTTTTAAACTGAAGACTCCTGTGTGTTTATTCTATTTCTTCTCACTATATAATATGTTATGTCTATTTCACTGCGCAGGAGGTTGGCAGGTGCTTTGGTGTGGTTTCATCTTAACTTTCTTTTTATCAAACGTCCTTTGTCCTTTTCTCTTTCTTTTTTTTGTTTGTTTTTTACTCTCTTGTAACACTCCTAATCTTCGACACTTATATGATTCAATTGTGTTGCAAGTCCCTGTAAAACTCTTACTAAAACAAATAATACAAATACAATGTCACTGCTACAGTGTAAACACATAAGCTGCTGTTGTGGGGGTAGGAATCATGGTGGTAGTAGAAGCATTGGTGATCATCATCATCATCACAGACTTAACAATTCCCCTTTTTCTTGTTTCGTTTTACTAGAAAACATAATAATTTGCACCATGTCAATACATTTTTACGTAACCAAGAAATTATATGGGAACCAAAATCAGGAGACTGAACAAAAACAAAAAAAGCATTGGTGGTAGCATTAACAACAGCAGTACATGTGGATCTAGCAGTACACAGAATTATAATTATTATTATTATTATTATTACTATTATTATTATGAGCAGTTATGCAGTTTGCATAGAGGTTGTTTTTTTTTCATGTAGGTAGATTTATGCTCCCAACAACACAGTTTAGATTATTTAAAGTAGGCAAATTTCAACTCTGCCTGTCAGGGTCAAAAGATGCTGAGAGGGATACTATGTCCCAGCAGAAAGACTTAAGATACTCAGGTGAAATTAAAATGTGCCCCACATGAGAATTGAACTCTGGTCTTATGTATGCGACAGCAAAGTGCAACAAAAAAAAAAAAAAAAATTATATATATCTGCTACACTACAGATGCTGGTGTTAACATGGGGTGGTCTCCATGTAAAAAAAAAGAGACCGATACATTTACTGATTTATTGGTCTATATGATTACGTACGTATAGTCTCAGTTTTGTTGTGACATTTTGTCCTTAGAAATGTTCTCTATATATATTAATTGTAGTTGTTTTACACTCCCAGAGACACAATTTAGCAGTTAGGAGGCGAGCTTCAACCCTGCCTGTCAGGGCCAACCCTGGATGAGAAGGATATAACGTCCCAGAAAGGCATCATGATCTTATCCAAATACTTGTAGGCCTACATGTATTATTATTTAAAGTAGTAGTAGTAGTACAAACAAGGTATTTTTAGTTTCAGTTTGTGGGTGCTCTGGTGTGGTTTGCTTCTTCTTTCCTATCGAACATCTGTCGTCCTTATCTCTCCTTCTTCTTTTTTACGTTTGTAACTCTCTTGTAACACCTCTAATCTTTGGGCACTCATGACCTTATGCAGTTGCGAGCGCTGTAAAAACATACTAAAACTAAACTAAAAGTTTCAGTTTGGTAAAAGTTTTACATTTACAGCACCTGCCACTGCGTAAGGTCATGTATTAGCGCGTGGAAATCAAGTTGGTTGTGTATGTTATCACGTTAGTTCACAGAATGGCTCGACCCTACTTAAACTTGACATTAGGAGTTTAAAATCCGTGGTTAATACTCAATAGTAAAAATAGTCATTTACGTAAGTTTAAAAAAGAGCACTGACTTGCTTAAATTTGCGTTACTTTTAGTCCAAATACGAAAATCACCCCCTCTCCCCCGCAAAGAAAAGCACCCTATTGTGGCTAGGCGTTAAAAGCGATGGTAATTATTGATCTCTAGAATTTAACAGTTTTGCTTTCCCGGTTCAGCATCTTTGTCAATCAGTTTAGTTTTTGTCACTATGCTCAGCAACAGTATCATATTGCAATTGCTTAAGATGTTTTCAATATAGACTAATGAGTCTATCTCAATTATTACCATCGACTGCGGCTATATAAATACAGTGTATTTTGTTATCAAGGACCTTAGAATATAATGTTATTATAACCTCCTTGGTTATTATGCAAAATATACAGTCTTCACAAAAAGTTAAGGACCACTTGCAAAAGTGCACGAAAAATAAAAACCAGCAAATCTATTCTAATTATTCATTCTTTAACATACATTTAATTAATCAGTCCAAGAGTGCAACAAAGAAATTTCATCCCAATCAAAACCGAAATGCATGATTCCCAGCGCTTAAAAGGGACCCACCCTCAATATCGAAAATCACAAAAGAAAGGCGCAGGGAATGTTGTTCCAATTTTGTTACAGCCATCCAAGCAGCAGTTGGCGGGCAAAGGGTAGTTCTCCCGAACTCTCAGAGCAAGCTCAGCCTACAACCTGTTCAATAGGATTGAGGTCTGAACTGTTGGCTGGCCAAACCATGCGGGTAATCCCCGCCTGCAGCACCAAGGCGTTGACGCCCTGGACCTGTGCGGCGTGGCGTTGTCGTCCTGAAGGGCAGCAGCAGCAGGCCCAATCTGCTGCAACGCTGTGACGACCAGAGGTCGAAAGATCTCCTGCAGGTACCGCTGCCCTGTCAGGATGCCTTGACTACCTTGCCGTGAATGGTGGACACATGCGCTTCTGACAATTCCATTGACATTCCCGAACTTGAACTGGTCGTTTTCTTTTATATTGCTGAGACTTTTTGAGACACTTTCTTTTGTGATTTTCGATTTTGTGGGTTGGTCTCTTTTGAGCGCTGGGAATACGCATTTCGGTTTCGATTGTGGTGAAATTTCTTTTTGCTCTTATGGATTACCGGATTAAATGTGTGTCAAAGAAGGCATAATTTGATTTCCTGGTTTTTATTTTGAGTGCACTTTTGTAAGTGGTCCTTAGCTTTTTGTGAAGGCTGTACATGCATATATAGGGATGTGATTTATGCAATAAAAACAATGGGGATAAAATCTAGGCTTATGCACCCACGAGCAGCAAGAATATGATCTGGATCTATATAATTAATTATACTCCAACAACTGCAATGATAGCAAAGATTCATCTTCTCGTAGAAAATATTTGGTGATAGCTCTATAATTTTATGCGCTCTACAATGTATAGGTTCATTATTGTACCCCGGCAGACCTGATAACATTTTGAAACATATTCTAAACTCACAGGGAAGCATACAGTACATGCAGTCATTATATATTAGAATAGGCGCTAATTTAGCGCTAAAAAAGAGAATAGGT